ACAATAACTTCCTTAGGCTGGACTGAAATTCCTTTACAAGGTCAAATAATTCCTTTAGGGACTTGCTTACAAATATATCAGTAACAAAGCTCCAACCAAGCAGTCCTCTTTTCCCTCTACATGGAGAGCTCTTCATACCTTAATAACATTACTTTATCCTTTTGGTATCAAGCTTAAATATGTCTTCTTGGGAAACCTTCTCTGACATCCTCTGTCATCCATCATGTGTAGCTACAGTCTAAATTATGTTTGCTTACAGTCCATTCAGACCAAAGATGTCACTTTGAAGACTAAGGTGAGTCAGAGCCAACCCATGGTCTTTTTAATTGCCTCATATGCATGTGAAAACTGGGCAATAAATAAGGAAGAGTGAAGACAAGAATTGATACATTTGAATTGTGGTGATGGTGAAGAATACAGAAAGTACCATGAATTGCTGGATGAATAAATAAAACTTGTCTTGGAAGAAGTTCAGCAGGAATGCTCCTTAGAAGCAAGAATGGCCAGACTTTGTCTCACATACTTTGGTTATGTTGTCAGAGGGGAATAGTACCTGAAGAAGGATATCATGCTTGGTAAATAGAGGGTCAGGGAAAAAGGGGAGGACTCTCAACAAGATGGATTGGTACAATAGCTGCAATGATGGGCTCAAGCATAGCACAGATAGCACAGGACCAGGCAGTGTTTTGTTCTGTTGTTTGTAGGGTAGCTATGAGTCTCAGCCAGGCACTTGAGTGCTAACTGGAAGGCTGATGGTTCAAAGCCACCAGCCACTCCTCAGAAGGAAGATTGGGCAATCTACTTCCATAGTAATACTGCCACAGAAACCCAAGGAGGGGTCGCTATGAGTTGGGGCCGACTTGACAGCACATAATAACAACACAGTACCTTCCGGTGTACCCTGCCCTTTTTCTTCATATCACATATTCCATTCAAGGTCCAAAACTAGCTAATAAGCTGACATTTCTTTCGACTAATATTCTTTAAATACCTGGATGACAATTCAATTATGGCATAAGGAATAGGCTGCTGTTCTGCCCCCATTAGAAAGCACTTTCATATCCTCTGGATGTTAGTCCAGCAGACCCTTTGGGAAATTTCACTTGACCACCTCCCCCAAACATTAGCCCTTCTCTTATCTAAGCATTATAGGCTAAACACTCATTCTAATAAATATTATCATCTCCATGAGAACATTTTGGCCAATACAACTTTCTCTACTTGCAGTTCCATTGCAAATATCTACTTGCAGATGTCTTCAATGGGCATGTAATATCCCAACTCTGTCTGCAATTATAAGTTATTTAAATATATGGATTTTTTTCTTTGATATCTACATCTCCAAGAGTAAACTACAGCTCTGTGAGCTAAAACAACATCTTTTTTTGTTCACTGCTGTATCTCTGGTATCAATAAAATGCCTGATACATGAAAAGTATCAATATATACTCGAGTGGGCAAATGATTCAATTCACATGATAAAGTACCTTGGACATGGATATGAACGTTCATAGTCCTTTGGGTACTATGTTGTTGTTGTTGTTATATGCTGTCGAGTCAAACCCGACTCATAGAGACCCCTCCTTGGGTTTCCGAGGCAGTATCACTACAGAAGTAGGATTGCCCAACCTTCCTTCCGAGGAGTGGCTGGTGGGTTTGAACCGACAGCCGTCTGGTTAGCAGGCAAGTGTCTTAGCCACTATGCTACCAGAGCTCCCTTGGGTACTATGACGTATAGTGAAATAGATTTCTCTACCACAATGAAATATGTTAATACCAACTTCTAAAGTTATTAGCTATTACAATCATCTATCTTCATGAGCTACACTTTTATGCTTTTCTTTCTTTCTATTAGCATTCTCAAAGTCCAACTCCTTTATCAGTGTTTTCTTTTGCTCACCTACACCAGATGAACAAGTCCTAAGTGGGAATGGAAGTAGACATCCCCTTTAACACTCAGCTATTTCATTGCAGACCTAGCACTCAGCTGCTAAGTATGTAAGTTGTTAGGAATTACTGAAATTCCTTTTACTTTATTCATTCTGTGACACAGGCAGCCTTTTCCACTAGGCATTGTGACCACGATCTAATTAATCAATTTAAGAAAACTCTTACATAATGCCATACCAGTATTTTAGAACATGGTAATTATTATGAAAACAATATAAACTAACAAAATAAAAATACTGACAGAAAATATAGAGTATTTCCATAGATTCTCATACTAACCTCTGACCCCTCATAATTTGTGGTAGCAGAACTTTGTGGAGAATATTCACACCAACTCCTTGGGGCAGTTCTTCATTTACCAATTCAACCCAATTCAAGTTTTTCTCCCTTAATTTTTTGTTTTTATATGAAATAATAATAATGAGAAGAAAATAGAATATAATGAGTATATCACACTTAGTAAGAGTAAGTATCATTTTGGGCAAATTGTGTTCCTAAATAATTGTAAACATTTACTGATACTTGATTA